TGAATCAGAGATGGAATAAACAAGTGAGTGTAGAGGGACCCATGCCACGTGTCCATCAGCTGTTTTTTGTTGACATTAATAACCCATAACATAAGAGTAACTTCAAAGAACATAAATACAATATACTCTTAGCTTTGAGACATCAGGAGCTCAAAGTGAAAGCAACAACCTTGGACAAATTCCTCATCATAAATGACTTACAGCATCACTTTAGCTAAGGAAAAGAAAATAGTCACAATATTCATCAAAATAAAAGTAACTCGTATTCAACCTTAACAAAGACAATATCTAAATTAACCAAAGTAAAGTCATAACAAGAAAATGAATAAGAAAATAAATTAATGACATTCTGAAGATCTTATGGACAACCGTGACTGAACCAATATCATTTAACATTATAAAACTTTCTAAAATATCAGTCATTCCCACTTCCCTTCTACACCCACCTGCCAAAACGGGTCGACAGAAATAAGTCAGGGATCGTCAGTAAAACGAAAATACCACAAACAGATACACCTTACCAGCGTGTATTGTTGTAAGTGAAGTTTATCCCGTATCAGGACTCAACAGTACTCATGGATATCGCCTGACACCCGCGTCTGGCTAGAAAAGAGACAAGAGTCCAAGTACGGGAGAAACTTTAGTATATAAATGAGATTATTCCACAAAGGTCACTCGTTAACGTTGCTCTTACAGTGTCGCTGGGAGGGGGGAGGGAGGGTGGTCATTATACGAAGGTTTACAAAAGAAGTAATCTGCATTTCAGTTAAGTACAGTCAAACAAACTCCTTCAAGATAAAACAAATCCTATGTGACCTTAACTACTAGTAACTAGCAGCTACGTAAGAGGAAATGGCAGTTATGACGCTGTTGAATATAAGAATTATTTGGGAAGTTGACGTAAACGAGGAGTCATGGTGATTAGAGACTCTATAGTTCGCCTAGCCACCGAGCACTGCTGGGGGTTAGTCTCTCTCTCTCTCTCTCTTTAGTTGTATTCGACGCTACGATAAATTAAGAGGGATGGATATCTGGAATCACTGAATAGATTAGAGTTGTGGGAGTTTATTGAGTAGTGATCGTATACAACAAGGAATAATTCGACAGCGCAGGATATAGAGCGCAGGCAGTAAGAAATCTTGCAATAGAGTAGACAGCTTGTACTATTGCAGCTTGTTGCATAGTTAGCGCAGGCGAAGACTTGCTGTGTCATTAAGTTCTGTCAAAGACTGATTGAGTTAGTTCACATGAAAACTAAATGAATTAGTTGAGTTAACTATTTTAATTAGTTAAAATGACTAGTTTAATCAGTTACTCTAGACTAGAGCAAGATTGGCTGAATTAGTTAGTTCATAATTAGGAAGATTAGCAATAGATTGTTCCTCATCAGGGGTGGGAACAACAACTGTAGTGAGGGATGTTTACCAAGGTTGTCAGGTAGTATTAATTTGTCTGTTTACTACTGACAATGGTAATGAGGACACCAGGCACGACAAGGCTTGGAACACCGGCCAGCATGGTGAGTGTGGTGACGTGGAGGTGGAGCATGAGGGGAGGGGGAGGAGGAGCATGGACGCATGGGGGGAGGAGGATTGGGAGTAGGGGGAGGTGGAAGCTATAGTAGATCCTCATGACACTAGATCCGTGAGTTTTGGCTCAGCTGATGTGACTGATGCATAGTTAAGTGACCTGGGCTTCGGTTCTCTAGGATTCTTACCTCCACCTGTAATTGGTGACTAATTAAATGCATGTAAGTAACAGACTGACTATCTAAGAGACGACACACAGACAAGCGGCCTTAGTGTCACCGAAATAAGACTTTTGTAAGACTCGATCATAATCAGATACGTTGTCTCGTCCCCAGCAAGATAGAAAAAAAGGAAAACTTACGTAGGAATCTTGAGAATTTAGTGTGTGGGTTGTGTTAATTGCCTTCATAATCGAGCTACCTGTTGCATCGTGTTCACTCCTCAGGAAGCATAATTACCATTTGTTGTATTAATGTGGACCTAGTTGACTAACTTGGCGTCATATTTAATGTGAATCATTCCAAGTAACATGTCTTCTAAGAAAACTTCCGCTACGCAGCTCACAATATTAACCAAGACTGACAAGATCTGCTCATGGGATAATACGGGAAGTTAAAAACAGAGCATTACTGAGCACCAAACACTTCAAGATAAACAGAATAATATAGTGTCATTCATTACACCAATATCAAATTAAATACATAATTGTAATATAATTTCAAAGTATCACGGAAAATAGAAGACTATAATTCACACATTATGCATTTAGAGATTAAAATATTTGTCGAATCGGTTCTCGTCCAATATTTCCGGGCGGTAAATTCTTGGCCATCAGGGGGACAGTCCTCTCAGCCATAACGCTAAAATTAAAGATCAAAACTAACATTATAAGCAAGCGTTTGACACTTATTATGAAGCTGTTTACGGTCTATCCTTAAAAGCTCAACTTCTAAGCTACAGTAAAGTATATGAGTACAAGCACCGTCATATCATAACAGTTACACACTCACTCGCAATTTGTATTTCTGGACGTGTTCAGTTTTAACTTATCTGAAATACTTTACAGGTAATATTCACAGGACACCCGCCATGACAGTACGACCCTTAAGCTGCTTTTAGTCACATTTGCACAAAAAATCCCTAACTGAAGGGTTTAACATCACTGACGCCGACGAATACATTTACGGAATGTACTTTATATTTTAGGATTGGACACTCGTCTCTTAATGGTTGCTTCAGATTCTCAGGAAGATTTGTTTCCTGGGAACGGGTGACCAATAAGGGAAGTCGAGGCTACGAGGTTTGTTGACCCCTTGTTGAAGATGACCTCTGGCGGCTGTTTTGGATGTGTATAATTATGACCAGAATTAGTGATTGTTGTCAGCGGTCAGCTCGACTACACAGAACACTTCCTGTCTTACTGTTAGTTTTAACATCACAGCAAACAACAAGATATTTTACGGAATAAGCGATATATTACGCCCAGGAAGCGACATGTGATGCACAATGTAACACGTGACTCACAGGAGACGATACATAACCCGACACATGCCCCACAATCACCCAGTCTCAACACCACAGTAATATCATCTTAAAAAAATCGAGATGAAGCACCGAAGCTCACCGTGGTACACATTGAAAAATCGAATCGTGGACCACATAGTCATAATCAACAAACTCAGGAGTACCCATACTGTGATTTTCAGCAAAATCAAATTTTTGGCCAAAAACCACCAAAAATGTAAGTCTTACACCTTACAAAAATTTTGACCAAAATATACTTTTTTCTCAGAATTGAAATTTAAGGGGTTTAACTAATTAAGCAATTTCAGAATAACACACAAACCATAAATTACACCTTGGAAACCCATAGTTGATGCGTAATTAGCATTGAAATATGATAGTAAAATCTTCCAAGGGTCATTTTTGCCACTAATTACTGTTCAATCGAATCATGGACCACATAGTCACAATCAGCAAGCTCACGAGTACCCATACTTTGATTTTCAGCAAAATCTAATTTTTGACCCAAAACTTCCAAAAATGTAAATCTTACACCAGTGGTGTCAAACTCAAAACCGTTCGAGGGCCTATTCTTATTTTAGTTACCCTCTTCAAGGCCAACACACGTGCTATATCACATATTTGCAGGATTGAAGTTTACAGCAGCTTCACACATTGCCTTACCTGGCTTACCAGGAATTCCTAATTTGGGTTTGTCTGATCTTAAGTATGTAAAATTCATTTTATTAAATAAACATGATTATATCTTTTTCTTTCATAATTTCACGGGATGATAAATTTTACCGTCATCCCGCGGGGCACACCTGACCATCCCAAGGGCCACATTTGGTTCGCGGGCCATGAGTTTGACACCCCTGCTCTTGACAGTCGCTAGCATTCGACGTCTGCACTAATAAATCGCGTCCACAAACTCTATCAATAACTATAAGCAGGCCGACACGCACAACAACACAAGACTAATCAAGAGGTTTACAGCCGTATTTTTACCGAAATGCAGAAGTCTCTTTTTACAAACAACAACAAGCTGTGGTGCCTGCTATAGTTTCAACTTTCCTAACGTCCATCTCGGGAACTACCGTATATAAACATTGCACACACAGCGTCAACAGCAAGGTCTAAAGCCTGTCACGGGACATTTCACCATTTATACAAATTTCATGATATTAATTGTCGGGTCTTGCAATACGAAATACGAAATACTTTTACGGATCCAGGTACGGTTATCAACACATTCTTGGTAAAGTCGGAAATATCGTAGCCAGTGTATATAGTGAACGGTCTTTGTTCACACGAGGTCCACTTGGTCATAGTGAACATGCATAGTGAGCCACAAGATTCAATATGAAATATAACCTAAATTAACCAAACCTACCCTTAGATGGTTAACCTTGTATTGGGTGAGTTAGGTCTGGCTGGTTAATGTCAAGAGGTCATATAATAGGCTACATCGACTGTGCAGTGGTGTACTGTACCCGCCCCAGTAACAAAAATATAATGACAGTCGGACCCGTGTCGGTTGCTAGAGCCTTTAAATGAAAAACAAGTTACTCACTCATCCAAACGATTTGGTAAAGGATGAATCTTCAAGTATTTGTTATTGACAGAGTAAACATACTTAAGCTGTTGTTTCTAAAGTTACACTTAAGAAAATTTATCGCTACACTTCACTGACACTAAAAGCTCTCTACTAACACTTCTGGGTCTTACAACTAGCTTACACTGCTGCTTCACTCACTTGCACGTACAGTACATGTGTCACTTAATCATGGTAATATACTGAGAGCCAAAACACTATGTGAACTCTAGATAAGAAGCGTGTTTAAATTATCGGTTATAAAAGTCCTAAGTACATCTAAACACTGTTAATAAAACAAAGTCGCTCGAATTTCATTTATGTATCCGACGAAGAACTGATAGAGAGAAGGGGAGTGGATAGAGACAGACAGGTAGGCAGATATACTCTAATTGTTATCGAGAAGCGTTCCAAATACAAAGCATTTCCAAGAGCTATGATTCACAAGAATAATACACGCGTCAGTCAGTATTCACACGACGTATTTCCAGTACGAATTATACTCCAAAAATACATTATTTTCTGTTATTTATTTATTTCCCTAAAAATACTCCATCAGGGCAGACAGATATAATGAGAAGTACTGTATTCACTCAGTAAAGTATTCTTCATAGTATATAAGAATATACTGGAAAGTTTGAGCACCAAAACCCAACACATTACTGTTCAGTGTGTTCCGTGCTGAATGATGATGTTGAGAAGGATACATTAGTTTCCCTACAGAAATTGTGTAAATCGTTTTCTGAATATTTCCTGAGAAAGAAAACTAAAACAATTTTATCCTTAACTTTAAAAAATAAGTCAAATTTGTTTTCTTTTACCTAAATGTGTATCAAATAATTACATTAATAAATATAATTTCTCACTACATGTAAAATTTTATATTATACTCATAATTTTTGGCCTAAGTTTAATCTATTCACAATGCTTTTATTAATATAAAAAATTAACTTTTAGGAAGTATCTACAGACCGAGGTCCCGCCCTCAAATCTTTGCTAGAGTCAAATATACAAAGTCTGTTTACATAATAACCTCCTTGTAATGCCGAGGCCGGCTCGGTAATGAAACACATGGGCAGTCGGTGAAGTTCGGTGTGGATGGCTTGTGTCTGCCGTCATAAATGGTTATCTTGTACATCAGCTACACACGCTTGGCTCTCTAGCAAAAATAGATTGAGTGCTGTACATGGGTCAGTAGACACAGCCTAACTATTAATGTAACTGACGAGTCTTCTTCACTTAGAGGCATCATATTAAAGGCAAAATGTGATATTTCATCTACATAACGTCTATAAAGCGAGCTGGAGGGAAGGTGGTCCTCCCTGTGCGTGGTGACTTAAAAGGCATTGCGTGAATGGCTGGCCAACGGGAGACACGTAGGCAAAATCCACACACATGCGGGCATCCTTGTCCTGATTGGTTCGTGGCCACTATGAAATCAGATAGCATCAATCCTTATACAAGGTTTAGGTTTAATTTGGCATAAGTTTAAGTTTAAAACATGTTTAGTTAAACTAGATTTGAGGGGAATGAGGAGTGAGTGATATACATGGGTGACGTCATTGCTGCGTGGACCAATCAAGGCATGCCTTGCCCACATAGGCTCAGATTTGCAAAATCGACGGCGGAACTTCATATTTGGTGTGCCACACCTCACTTAGTTCGTCAGGTTGAATTCTTATCCAACTGTAGGAAGAAATTGTTCGGAAGCATTTTCTTGGCTTCAGATAAAGTGAGTGAGGTTCTGCTCCTGCACGACAGAGGATGCAGGGAAGGTACACACAGGGGACCCCAAAGGGAGTCATTACTTAACGCTCTCTCATTTTCCACAAATCTTGACCTCACTCACATCTGTTGGAACGGGCCTCTTTTTACCGTTCCTCCGTTTCTTATCTCAGCTTCTCTGACAACCAGGAGACAGCGCCTCCACTTGGGTCTTCATAACAACCCTTTAGTTTAAGCATGCAGTGGTCTCGCCCTGTAAGAGTAACAGTGGCGCCAGCTCATGTTCTCTTTGGGGAATATATTATTCTAGAGCTCGTATGATTCATTAACAGAGCTGCGTCGATTATATTAGAGATAAAATATTATTTATCACTGGTGGTAGACTGCTTACCGTGTTGTCTGACATATCTGGATGTAGAGGCATTTGAGCAGAAGGAGGTCTTTGTAAATGTCAGTTTCGTGTCTTCATTTGTGTCGAAAAGAAAGAAAAGTTCAACTGGAGGCCAGGGAAGATTTACAAATACTGTACGGTAATGGTGAAACTTTCGAACAGTTATTTTCCTTTTAAGATCTTTTTTTTTTAATCTTTGTCAAACAACATTATTTGAACGTACCCTTGATTACGTGGTCAGTTTATCTTGCTGTAGACCTCCCGTGAAACACAAGACACATGATCTCAGCTAATTATCAGTCACCGTAACTTTCACTAACAGAAATACTACCACAACCTTGACCTTGAGAGCTGAAGTAAACTTAGGTGACCAGCTCAGAGCTCAACAGGACAATGAAGCGTTGGCTGGGTAGGAGGGAGTGAGTTGAGCACCACGATGTGTTTCCTGTTACTATCTTCAACAGCTATTGTCAAACTCATTCGGTGTGATAAAAATAATCCTGCCGTGATGTAATCCTTCGGTTGTGTGTACGCAGAAACGTCCTGCGCGGAACACAACACATACACGTCTGTTATAGCGGATCACCATTAAACAAGGTAAGGTTAGGTAAGTTAACTCCTGTAGGAGAATCTTACATGCATAGGGTTGTTTTATACCACGCTTGTGTCTGTGAGAATTTTCTAACATGGCAAGGTACCGTGTGTGTTTCACTACAACATCCAGTCCAGGTCTTCAGATACATTTTTGTTTATTTCCGTGAAGGTTAAACAGAGCTTTTAGATATATCAGATGCCAGGTTGAAAAATCCAGAGGTTCGCGGTGACCAATAGAAGTTGGAGGGGTTGGCGGTGTTAATCGTGGTATGAAGACCTTGCTCTAGTCACAGGTGGCAGATGTAAGGAATCAGCAGAGGTTACCAGGACAAAGAACTCTTGCTATACGTCGACATGTAACATCTGTAGTTGTTAGCCAGATGATCTGGTCGATATTATAAACTTCCAGAGAGAGACAAACTATATTTTGCCTGACGTATAAACTATACTGTATATGTGCATTAGGATCGTCACAGCGAGTCGGGTACGTCACAGAACACTGTCACACTGAGTAAAGACATTGTGTTTTCTGCCGATCATTTCCAGGGAGACAGACAGAGTACAAGATACCTTTATCTCATCAGGAAACCGACACAGAGAGTCTGGACTGCTACAGATCAACTGCCTGGGTGATTTACTCCAGTTCTGTTGTTTATTTCCACTTATTATGGCGTCAGTGAAGGAAAATTGTAACAGGTGACAACTAATAAATTTCACACTCACTAAAACATACTAATTCGATAGGAATTATTCTGGTTACACTGAGGACACGACATCCCAAGGGTGTCTTGAGCGTTGGTCGTGTCTGGAGAGATTATGTCTTAAAAGCAAACTTTGGTCAAGATCATGTCCAGGTCATGATAAAAAAGAAAAGGGGAAATTCTTCTATTCATTTCCCTTTTTTTCATTCATAAAATTCAAATTATTCTTAGGTGTCTTAGTGCTATTTCAGGTTTATGATGTTTTCCTGTCTTATACATTGTCTTTCAGTACAGTAGTGTTAACAAATATATCCAAAATTTCTGAAGGTCAAGTTATACCTTCTCTAAGTTGGATCTTCAGTAAGTTACAAGATGAGCAGTTGTCAGTTTACCGGTAATAAAGAAAACGGCATTTTAGGTGAGAGTGGAAACTGAGCTAACTTGAGAGCTTATAACACCACTTTCCATACATGCTCGCCACACTTAAGAAAATCTAAATTGCCTTTCAAACAGCAAACTAGTTGGTTTTTTCTCTTGTGAAAATTTGTGATTCGGTATGTATGTATGTATGTATGGATGTATGTATGTATATATTTATATATATATAACCTACAGTATGTATATGTATATCATCTATAATACACAAAGAACAGAAGATAGAAAAGCTACCCTTCCTTCATAAAAAAATAAACTTACCCCCAATAGAAAACCAGAGGATTAAGATTTCTCCCTAAAACAACGAATGCTATTGTTTGCACCCCATCGTTAATGTGTTTACCACAATATCATCTTTTATTTTATGAGTGTGTTTCTGTTTTGAAGACCAATACAGATAATGAATGAAAACCAATTATAGGATGTGATGATTTGAGTTGATTTCTTGACGTCGAATATACAGAAGAAATGAAGGAATGGCGAACACCTGTGGTTAGGTTAGGTTACCTGTCCACCACACCTGTCGCATCTTCCTCAGGTGTTCACATTATATATGAAGCAATGACGAACTCCTGTACCCGTGGGATAGTTATGCACTACACCTGTCGCTTCAATGCTCATTTCATATTGGAGGACTGACGAACACCTGTGGCCGTAGATCATCTCCCAATTACACCTGTTATTTTCTCCCCAGGTGTTCACATCTGCGACAGCAAGGAGATCGAGGAGCGACGGACATCAGAGGCGGTGGGTTTCCTCTCCACCACCATGAACTCTACCTCTGGCCGGGACCGACTTATCCAGCAGCCAGCGATCAGACGGGCAGCCTCCTCGTGACTCTGACCTGAAGAACAACACCACAATACACCTGTAATATTTCGTTAATATTCATAGTTTCATAATTAATGTGAAGTGTTTTTAGTTTAGATAAATTACACCTCTGTTCAGTATTCTCAAAGCTCCATATATAAGATTTTTTACCCCAAACTGTGGATAGGGGAAGACATCCAGCCACGATAGTTTCAGTGTAATATTGTTAGCCATTTTGTCTGCCATCATTGTGTCGTGAGATGTCACTTAGATGCATTATCACATGATCAGCTGAGTTGAGGGATAAAACGTGAGAACCTTTGAGAGTCCAGAAATAATTACTTATTTCACGTTATTTACAGAGAAAGGAAGACAGGAATAGATAGTCAGACAGGGAAATTTATAGACAGAAGGAAACCGCCCATTATCCAATTTTAGGTCGAATACAGATAGACAGACATGAAGACTTACCGTCCAGTTTTTGGCCGTCCACAGCCAGTATAAGTTGGCCTACCCTCAGGCCTCCCGCCTCGAAGGCCGCCCCGTTGGCCGCTATGTTGATGACCCTGGGCAGCTTCTGCTTGGTGTCTGCCCCGCCCTCTATGGCGATGCCAAGGTTGGGTCGTGTCTTCTTCACCACTACCCGGAACCTGCCCAGACTGTCGCTCACCACCAGCGACGTCTACAAGAGGTAGAAAGGTATAGGAACAAGGCGATGACTACTACTACTACTACTACTACTACTACTACTACTACTACTACTACTACTACTACTACTACTACTACTACTACTACTACTATTATTATTATTATTACTATGTGGCCTCCAGCCTTCCCCACCCAACCAGCAAGCATGAGGATAGGAAACAATTATTTTCTTAATAGCTGCTACTGAGTTACAATATACTATTAAAAAGACTAACGTACACATACTAACAACCCTTTAAATCGTCTCATTTATAATGGTTATTTTGACTAAATAAAATGTTAAACAATAAAGGTGTTGGGAGTGAGTGTTGGGAGATGTGTGGACTTCGGTGTCTTGTGGTCGTAAAAGTTCCGTTCTCTCTATAATGTGTATGATATAGTTGTATTATGGTGTGGACATTACCCGTCTGTTTCTACACGCATAGGGTGGGTGAGTGTCCTCTCGCTTCTCGCTAGAGTTGGTTCTGGCTGGACTGGGTGATGAAGGTGCCGTTCCCCCGCTGCTCCCACACACCTGTAACATACAATAACACCTGTAACTTGGCGCCTTAACACATTCTAGTTAATATGATAAATATCTGTAGGTAGGTGATAAACGTTTGTTGGTTAATTTTTATTATTTTATTACTCTTATTTTATTTGTTATTATTATTTAGGCTTTATATTTAATACACTGATTACTTTCATTATTACGGCATTAAATCAAAGCCAATGTTCTTGTTTTTTCTACTTATGGATAAACACCGGTAACAAAGCCTAGTGACACAGCACCAAAAACCCACAGTTCGCGTCAAAACCCATAAGTGGCGAGTAATTAACATTGCAAAAGTAATTAAAATATTCTAAAAATCATTTGAATATTTTCTAAAAGCCATTTGAACAAGTTATAATCAAGATATCAAATTTTGGTTAACAGATCCTTAAGCAGCACATTCAGGAGTACCTATACTGAAATTTTGAACAAAATCCATTTTTTGGCCGAAAATGACAAAAATTGTAAGTCTAAAGCCTTAAACGATTTTTGGCCAGAAATGCTTTTTCTCTCTGAACTAAAATTTAATGTGCCTAACTATTTCAGTACATCCAGAAAAATACACAAGCACCAAGAAATGACCTCGAAAACCCATAAGTGGCGAGTAATTAGCATTGCAAAAGTAATTAAAATATTCTAAAAATGATTTGAACATTTTCTAAAAGCCATTTGAACAAGTTATAATCAAGATATCAACTTTTGGTTAATAGATCCTTAAGCAGCACATTCAGGAGTACCTATACTGAAATTTTGAACAAAATCCATTTTTTGGCCGAAAATGACAAAAATTGTAAGTCTAAAGCCTTAAAGGATATTTGGCCAAAAATACTTTTTCTCTCTGAACTAAAATTTAATGTGCCTAACTATTTAAGTACATCCAGAATAATACACAAGCACCAAGAAATGACCTCGAAAACCCATAAGTGGCGAGTAATTAGCATTGCAAAAGTAATTAAAATATTCTAAAAATCATTTGAACATTTTCTAAAAGCCATTTGAACAAGTTATAATCAAGATATCAAATTTTGGTTAACAGATCCTTAAGCAGCACATTCAGGAGTACCTATACTGAAATTTTGAACAAAATCCATTTTTGGCCAAAATACTTTTTCTCTCTGAACTAAAATTTAATGTGCCTAACTATTTAAGTACATCCAGAATAATACACAAGCACCAAGAAATGACCTCGAAAACCCATAAGTGGCGAGTAATTAGCATTGCAAAAGTAATTAAAATATTCTAAAAATCATTTGAACATTTTCTAAAAGCCATTTGAACAAGTTATAATCAAGATATCAAATTTTGGTTAACAGATCCTTAAGCAGCCCATTCAGGAGTACCTATACTGAAATTTTGAACAAAATCCATTTTTGGGCCGAAAATGACAAAAATTGTAAGTCTAAAGCCTTAAAGGATTTTTGGCCAAAAATACTTTTTCTCTCTGAACTAAAATTTAATGTGCCTAACTATTTAAGTACATCCAGAATAATACACAAGCACCAAGAAATGACCTCGAAAACCCATAAGTGGCGAGTAATTAGCATTGCAAAGGTAATTAAAATATTCTAAAAATCATTTGAACATTTTCTAAAAGCCATTTGAACAAGTTATAATCAAGATATCAAATTTTGGTTAACAGATCCTTAATTAAACACGTGTTATTTATCTGTTGTGGTAATTAGCCGCAGTTAATGTGGACAACCTGCTGTTTACGCCGTGCTGTTAACAAGCTTGTTTGGTCACGCGAGGTTTACATGATAAGTTAAGGAGAGAGAGAGAGAGAGAGAGATATGAACATACATTTTCACACACACACACACACACACACAAACAGACATACTTCTTTGTTTTATATAGATAGATTGTCTAATCATCACTACATATAACACCACCCATCATCACTACACATAACACCACCCATCATCACTACATATAACACCATTCACCATCACTACATATAACACCATCCATCATCACTACATATAACACTACCCATCATCACGACATATAACACCAGCCATCATCACTACATATAACACCAGCCATCATCACTACATATAACACCACCCATCATCACTACATATAACACCACCCATCATCACTACATATAACACCACCCATCATCACTACATATAACACCATCCATCATCACTACATATAACACCACCCATCATCACTACATATAACACAACCCATTATCACTACATATAACACCATCCATCATCACTACATATAACACCATCCATCATCACTACATATAACACCATCCATCATCACTGCATATAACACCACCCATCATCACTACATATAATATCATCCATCATCACTACATATAACACCACCCATCATCACTGCATATAACACCACCCATCATCACTACATATAACACCACCCATCATCACTACATATAACACTATCCATCATCACTACATATAACACCACCCATCATCACTACATATAACAATATCCATCATCACTACATATAACACCATCCATCATCACTACATATAACATCATCCATCATCACTATATATAACACCATCCATCATCATTACATATAACACCATCCATCATCACTACATATAACACCATCCATCATCACTACATATAACACCATCTATCATCACTACATATAACACCATTCATCATCACTACATATAACACCATCCATCATCACTACATATAACACCATCCATCATCACTACATATAACACCACCCATCATCACTACATATAACACCATCCATCATCACTACATATAGCACCATCCATCATCACTACATATAACACACACACAAACAAACAGACATACTTCTTTGTTTTATATATATAGATTATTATTATTACACACACACACACACACACACACACACACACACACACACATACGGGAAGTAGTCAATACTTTCGAGTTAGCCCAACTGCACACCGAGGCAGACAATCGCCAGCCCCGGAAAGACGCTGCACTAGATGTAGACTTGAGCAGTGTTACATGTGGACGACCCTGCCGGTCCCGCATCGGCCTCTCGAGCCACCTCAGAGCTTATCAATGATGGTGACATTATTTTATCATAGATGGATGATCGTCATACTCGATTTATAGTATTAACTTAATAGTTTAGTGGCGATGATTACAACCAAATTCCAACCTTACTAATGTTTCTTTTTTTTACATTACTCGGTCAATTTCTCTTTCTATATCATAAGCCTCATATCACATCGAGCTCACGAATACTTCCAACGATGGACTTATTTGATCTTTATCTGACTGAGACTTGCGAGGAGGTTAGGAAGGGAACCAAGAGAGGAGCCTCGCCGTCCTCCTCCTCCAGCCCCAAGATGATGAAACTCGTTTTGGCCAGCGAAAAACTCCAGGCCTTTGTTGTCCCCGTCCCCACCACCTCCCCCGTCCCCACCACCTCCACCTCCCCCGTCCCCACCACCTCCACCTCCCCCGTCCCCACCACCTCTCACACCCATACCCGTGAGAAGTCAGCCCCAGATGTAAAAGCTCTCCCTCAAATTTTATGGGAAAATCTCACTTATCACAAGAAAATTCGTAGCGGGATGCGGGGGAAGACGGCTCATTACCGCCTCACCCTAGAAAGTGGAGAGACAAGAAACGTCGTAGTTAAGAAACTCCACAACGGCACCCCGCTAACAGAAGAAGCAACCATTCTACAAGAGCTGGATGGGGCCGGGGGGGTTCCACTACTCTACGGCGTCACAACCAAGCCTTATGCCCTGGTGATGGATCTATGCCCCGGCATAACTTTCACTGAAGCTGTAATGAGGCTCAACAGAGATCAAATTAAATACCTCCACGATGAGGTCCTCTCAGCCATTACCCAGTTCCACGCCGCTGGATACAGCCATCACGATCTCCACGGCGATAATGTCATAATCAACACATCAACAAGCCCCATGGAATGTCATATAGTTGACGTCGGAGAAGCCGTAAAATTTTCCGGCGTTGCTGAGTTCGACCAAAAGATGAAGAATAAGGATTCCGCTTTCCTTCGCTGGCTAAACATGTGATATGTCAACGTTGATCTAAATCAAACCTGTATAAAACCCGAGCAAAACAATAAAATAGATACCAAAATAAATTGTTTACCTAAACCCTACACTGTTGCCAATCGCCACAAAACTAATTACAACTCTGACCCAACACACACACACACACACACACACACACACAAAAGAGGGCATGCAAGATTATTCTCTCCCCTTCTTACTCCACATACCAAGAAGCGCTCAACACACACTGACCCTCTCGGCTCTTTCTGACCATCACCACGACCTCACCTGCAAATTTGGTGAGAAGCTTCTGCACCATCCTCGACACCGGCTCCTACTACCGCCCGAGATCCCTAGCCCGAGAATTGCTGTTTCACACCACAACCGCATCCAGCCCATACGAGCACGTACTGATCGCTTCTCCCCACCTAGTTATTATATATCATATTTGTATCACTTATGTTACATGTATATTTGTCAATCAAGAGGCCTATACCCCAATTATGTAACTATATTTTTAGCCTTCCGGCTGCCATGCTCTTTCAATAAACCGTTAATTAATTTTTAATATTATTATTACACACACACA